CTTGATGACTTCAGAGTCCTGCCTCGACCGAGGTAAATTTTGAGGTCGCCACATCCATGATTTTCTCAATCGTATCAAACTTCTGAGAGCTCGTGCTCACAAAGGTGGTCACTAAATCTTCAAGTTTAGCAAACTTGTCAGTTTGTTGTTGTTGTTGGAACCGTTGACCACCTTATGCTTGGTATGCTTGTAGGAATTTCGAGTTTTGGAACTGAGGCCTTTGTTGGATGAAAGTTGGCCGAGGTTGATAGTTTCCCGTCGGACCTTGGAAACCAGGGGGGTCTTGGATTGGTAGGGGAAGACCAAGTGAAGTTTGTATGATTGCGTCACCCGGGGTTGTATGTATTGCTATAAGGGTTGTTCCCTCTAGCATTGGCAATGAAACTCACTTTCTCCTCGGGGGTACTAGTCTCCTTCATTGCTTGGCAATCCGCAATTTCATGATTAGTGCTAGAACACCATTCACAAGACATCACCGCTCTCTTCCCTTGCTTCTTGTCCTCAAGGATCACCTCAATCAACTTGTCAAGCTTAGCTTCAAGTAGAGGACTTGCTCCCACACTTCGCACTCCTCTTCGGTGCTCCTCTTTCCAGTCCTCGTCAAACCCCAATCGTATCCCTTGAGAGCCATATCTTCGAGCAACTCGGTCACCTGAGGTTAATTCATGTTCATTAACTTCCCTTGGCAAAGAGATTCGATGAGGATCTTGTCATCTTGAATGAGACCTCTATAGAATGTCTCTATCCGAAATTGCTCCTCGAATCCATGATGAGGGCATTGGAGGAAGTAGTTCGAGAATCTTTCCCATGCATCCCTCAATGTCTTATCTTCCTCTTGCTCAAAGTGGGTGATCTTCTTCCTCCACTCGGCTGTCTTGGAAGGAGGATAATATCGAGTCATAAACTTGTTGAGCAAATCGTCCCAGTACCCATGCCTCGTCACCCCATCCCACCTGCAGATAACAAAACCAGGGGAGACCAAATGCACGCCACTATCCCCACTCATGGGAGTCCGCACCACCCTCTCTACTGGCTAAGTCATCCACTCATGCAACTACTGATGGTACTACCTCATCAGAGCTGGGATTCAAAAAATTTTGCTTTAAAGACAACCCAGTTTTAAGATTTCCATATCCGCCAAAGCACAACCACAAACGCCATAACTTGGTGCTGGTGCTAAATGACAGCAAACGGTTTTTTGAGGAAAAGCGGGAAAGTATGACGAGTGAGTCCTTGACCAAGATGTTCCAGACTAACATGATCCCACAAAGCTCTGGCCACAAGGCACTCAAGAAAGGGATGCTCCATCATTTCCGACTCTGCACAACAGACTGTACACCAAGGATGCACCGGGACGTCCTTCTCAATAAGAGCTTTCGTTGTTGGGAGAAATAGGTGCAAGATTTGCCATAGGAAGATACACAACTTTGGTGGAATCGAGGTACCCCACAGGCCTTCATTCACATTTTTTACTTGGTGGGAAAATTTCACGTTTAAACGCAATTTGTACATAAAGCATGCCCACCAAGGCTCAATTAAGCTCATGCAAGAGTCATGCAACATTCATTCACCTAGAATCAACTAATCCCTCGCCCTATTTCTACATTCAACAATCAATTCACTAAATTCACCTCACTTCACACCCTAATCCGATTCTCCAAAAATTACAATGCTAAGGTCGAAAACAAACCTGGAGACTCAAGTAGGAATGCATTGGAAATGAGGAGAGGGCGAAGGAGTCAAAAAATCACACAAAAATAGGCCGCAGAGGTGTCGCTGGAATTCTCCTCTCCAGAAAAAACCAGAGCCAAATCTCCCCAAAATTGCAGCGAAGGTCGCCCTTGATGTGAGAAGGATTGGTTTTTTATTTGGATCGCCGTAAAATCGCGGTTTTCCGGCGAGTTTGAAAGGATTCCGGCAAAAATTTAGGTCGTGAAGTGAACTGAGGGGTTCACACAACTTTTATAGGCAGAACCTCCAGTTCACGGACGCCTTGCCCAGTTTACGGTCTCTAAGACCGTGAACATAACTCGCGAACCGCGAGCTGGGGTAAAACGGTGGGTTTTGTGTAAAACACAGAGTGACCTGGTTCACGGGCGCGTTGAGCAGTTCAAGGTCAATTAAGACCGCGAACTGCAAGCGCAAACCGTGAAATGAAGTGAAAATAGGGCATTCGCATTTCCGAAATCTTTTGACTCGACCTACTCCACCGTGCCTACTATTGATCATAACACATCTCAAAACACACAATCACAAAATCCTGGCATGGGGATACCAACTCGACACTTAAACTCTTCACTCAAACACAAAAAGAGAAAATAAGGAAAAGAAAACAAACCTACGTTGGGTTGTCTCTCAACAAGCGCTAAGTTACGTCACTAGCTTGACGTTGCGGATCTATCATGCGTGAGAACATGAAGCCACCGAGAGTGGATTCGCCACGATCTCGGGCTGAGGCTTGTCGCTCCCAACTTTAACTCCATGGGGTGGCCTTCTTGGCAGATGATCTTCGCTTTGCCCTTGTCCTTTCTCCGGGCAATAGCGTGATTCATCCTTTCCCTCCAAGCTTTCTTCATCCTTTCTTTGGGTGTGATACCCTCCTTAGTTTCCTGCTTCACATCACCATTAGGAATAACAATAATGGTGGGGTTCACCTCTAGAGGCTCTCCTCCACTTGCATTCATATCATTCGATTCCACTTCCTTTACGTCCTCACTCCTAGGCTTGGGTTCAATTTCAAGAGTAATTTTCTCTTAACCATCTCTCATAATCAAAGTTCCCTCATTAACATCGATTAAAGCCTTGGCGGTGGGAAGGAAGGGGCATCCTCGTATGAGTGGCATTTCCGAATCTTCACTTATATCAAGGATCACAAAATCCGTCGGATAACATCCTTATCCCACTCTTACTAGCACGCCCTCCACAATGCCCCTGGGACTAATGACAGCGATCGGCCAATGTGACACTGAGCCTACTATTCTTTAGTTCACCTATGTCTAGCCTCTTAAAAAGCTTAGAGGGCATCACATTAATTCTTGCTCCTAAGTCTGCCAATGAAATCGGTGCAAGATTTGCCATAAGAAGATACACAACTTTGGTGGAATCGAGGTACCCCACAGGTGTGTCCAGCTTTGCCTATCCATCCAGCTATCTGCGGGACTCCACCTACCATACTTTTTATCCACCAACACAATAGGTGGAACGCCAATTTGACAGTGAAATCCCATCACATGTGTCATGCTAGATGAGCTTATCCTCAACATACTGGCGGGGTAGCGAGATAACATTGATAGCACGACGAGTGTCTGGGTGGAACCACTGGGCTAGTTTAACGTCAAACCATTGACCTTCACAAGGGCACAACAAATCTGCCACCTTAATATCACCCCCTCAGGAAGAACCTGGGGGTTATAAATCAGGGTTTCCGGATGCAGGGGGATCCAGTTGTCGTGTAACAGAGACACCGACCGACCATTCCCAATCTGCCAGCGAGTCCCTGCTCCAATAATTGATGCCATAGGGTATACTTTGCCAACCCCGGGAAGGGCGAGATCGTGCGGTAGCGGTGAGGAAAGCGCCATTAGGAAAATATTCCCCTTTATACAACTAAGCTAGGACAGACTAGGGTTCATTAAGTATTCGCCATCCAATCTTGGCTAATAATGCCTGATTGAAATGCTCAAATTTGCGGCCCCCATGCCTCCATCATGTTTACTACGACACCTCTTACACCACGACATCCACCGAATTCGAGAATGACCATCCTCCATCCCACACCAAAACCAAGCCACAAGCTTATCCAAAGTTCCATGGATTTGTGCTGACAGCCTTTCCTCAACAAAACGAAATGTGGCCATCTTAGATTGGGCTATCAGGGTGGGTAACCCCAAGTATTTATCTTGCACTCCCGCAGCCCCACCCCCCAAAATTTAAGTCGGGAATTCCTAATCCGGGATCGAAATATTCTTACTGAAACAGACCGTCGATTTTGCCAGGTTTACTCGTTCCCACTGAGTTCCTCGTACTCATTCAACACCTCAATGAGATTCTCACACTGTTGCAGTGATCCTCGGAGAAACAAGTATGAGTCATCAACAAAAAACAAGTGAGAAATCCTAGGTGCCTGAGGGGTAACTTTCACTCCTTCCAATTTACCCTCTGAAATGGCTTTACGGATAAGAGCCACAAACCCGTCAACACATAGCACAAACAAGAGGGGAACAGTGGGTCACCCTGTCGGAGTCCTCTTGTGGGTTTGAAGAAACCATGGGGCGTACCGTTCATCAAAATTGAGAATTACGACGAACTGAGACATTCCTGTATCCAGCATAGTTAGTTATGATTAAACACTAACTTCGACAAAAACCGCAGGGAGAAATGACCATTCGACTCTATCATAGGTCTTTTCCATGTCAACCTTTAGAGCCATTTTCCGTCAATTCTTAATTTTCACATTATCTTGTGCCCTAGGAGGACATCCTCCACAATTTGTCTTTCTCGGATGAATGCATTCTGTTGCCCTTCTGAGATGATCTGTGGGAGAATTTTGGCAAGCCTTTCTGTCATGATCTTGGTGATAATTTTATACACAAACTGGCATAAGCTTATCGGTCGTAACTGCCGCATGAACTCCATATTATCCACTTTAGGGATCAAAGTAAGGCAAGTATGATTAAAATTTCGTAATATTCTGTTTTTCGAAAGAACGAACAGACAGGTTCAACCACTAACTCACTCATAATGTCTCAAAAGGATTTAAAAAACTTCCCAATAAAACCATCCGAGACTGACGCCTGTTTCGATCCCATAAAGAGGAGGGAAAATCTAAAGGAGCCCATGGAGCATAAATAAGATCATCCATCATAAAATGGAGAGCGCCAACCATTATAGATAAGGAGCGTCCTCTAAAAATCCAAAATTGTCGCGTGGCAGCGCCACAAAGTTCCCGATATTGTTTAATCTCACAAAATCAACCGAAACGGAAGTAACAGACCCACTCTCGCCTTTCTCTCTCCAGTACCAAACCGTTAAACGAGAGGACGCGTTGAAGAGAAAGCCGAGAGGGAGACGCCATGGCCACTGCTTCTTTGTGTTGTTCTGCTGGGGTCAATGGATTCGATGGAGGCCTTCGGATTCGATGGAGCTACCTTCTTCAACCAATTTCCCTTCCTGTTCCCAGGTAGTAACTTCTCGTCCTTTCCGCCCCTTCTCCGATTGAATTTTAGTGAGCTTGCTGTCATTTGCTGACGTCCATCCCTGATCGCGAGGCGAATTCTGGTCTGTTTGGGCGGAACCTAGTTCGTTCATAAATGTTTTCTTGAAAATCGGGGTTGATTGAGTTATGGAGGTCTCTCTCTGCTGGAGAGCTGTTTTATTGGGCGGTGGTTGAGGTGGAATTGTGCTTAGTCGAGCTGAAAAGGAAGTCAATTAGTCCAAACCTGGGGGTTTCAGGATTGTACTGCGTTCGCATCAAAATGGGCTGTTGCAAAGCATGATGTCTAAAGGTTGAGCATTTTGTGTTTATGATAATACCTCACTGACCACTCTGGATTGGTTATTGGTGTGCTGCGTCTGTGGTCACACAGAAAGCAAGGAAGATTGATGTTGAGTTCCTGTTTTGACAAGGGTTGCTTCTTCTTGAAATGGAAGTTTGGATTCGAGAAACAAAAAGAAAATTTCCCACCCATCCTCTGGGATTTGAAATGATGAAGGGTGTGGCTATCGAGCTGCAATCGACTTTTCTAGTGAACAATGTTTTATCATCATGTTCACCCGAATGATGTATGATTCTTATATCAACTTTCATTGCTCTGCTTCTTCGGATATAGAGACTGGATCCTATCAACGGATAATATCCATGACCCTCTTTTGAATACTTGTCTTCAGAATCTTTGACTAGTTATCTTTCCTAACTGATCCGAATTTTCGCAGTTTACTATCCTGTACTTAGGCAAAATGTGTGAAATTTTATTGCAGGAGAAAAGTTCAGACAATAGTGAGGGCTACTTCTCGGGTTGATAAGTTCTCGAAAAGTGATATCATCGTTTCACCATCTATCCTGTCTGCTAATTTTGCAAAGTTGGGAGAGCAGGTTACTTATTGCTCCTTGCTCTTGGTATATAAGTGTTAAGTCTATTGATGTTATGATCAGGCTCTAGGCTAAACGAATTCGAGAAATAAATTGGAGGCTGGAAAGTGAATCCCTGCTATTGCTGCAGGTTGCAGATCCATTTCTGTTCCTGCGCAATTATTTATCTCCATTTTCTGCAGTGTTCAATGTCTATGGTGCTTGCTCTTTTAAAGTCGAATTTTGTACATTTGTCTAGGTCAAAGCTGTTGAGGAAGCAGGATGTGATTGGATCCATGTTGATGTAATGGATGGTCGTTTCGTGCCAAATATCACAATTGGACCTCTTGTGGTTGATGCTCTGCGCCCTGTAACAGATCTCCCCTTAGATGTGCACTTGGTACCAAGATATGCGGCGTATCCATTTTGTTTTTTGTCAAATCAAGACAAAGTCCAATTTTCTCACTTACGATCGTCAATACAGATGATTGTGGAACCTGATCAACGTGTGCCAGATTTTATCAAGGCTGGAGCTGACATAGTCAGCGTTCACTGTGAACAATCTTCCACCATTCATTTGCATCGTACTGTAAATCAGGTAATTTATTTATCTGCTTTCTAGTGTTGGGGGAATGGGTGTAAGATTTTGGCAGATATGTCTGGGATACTTGAAGTAGCTGGACAATTGCTTTATTGATTCTCTCAATTTACTGGTTATCAAGGGGTTAGGTAATTGTAGCTAAATCAAGAAGCGCACACTCTTAGTACCGGACAATCCTTTGTATAGTACTTCACATTTTTCGTCTCAAAAACAAGAAAAGTACCAACCACCACACAGCCCATGTACCCCCCCCCCCCCCCCCCCCCAAACCCAAAAAAAGCCTTAACTTTTTTGTCAACGTATCAAACCTAGTTCTCCAATCGCTGTAAACTCTAATGTTAGAGGCTCACGCTTACTCGTCCTTTTCGTTTCCTGAACTTACTCTTTATTTTCACATATTTCATTAGTTGTGGTATTTGCTCTGTTAATTTCCCGTTCTCGTTCTAGTAGATAAAAAGCCTTGGAGCCAAAGCTGGAGTTGTTTTGAACCCTGGAACCCCTTTGAGCGCTATCGAATATATTCTTGATGGTGAGTATCGACGACCTCCACTACTTATGGCCTTGAGAATACTCTTTTTCTCATGCATCACATGTTGGTTTGACGTGCATAATTTAAGTTTAGGTAATAGATCGGGCTGGTGGGGAATTAGGCTAAAACTAACCCACCCTGCATTTGAAGGGTTGAGCGAGTGTTCATCTATAAAGAAAGTTTAACGAAGGTGGTGGGCCTGGTGTTATCAAAATTCTGTGTGTTGCATTTATCTTAGGTTAAGTGATCTAAAAGTTCAGCATGTCCATGGATGGAAAAATGCACTTAGAATAACAAAAGTGGAGGATACACTGGGAATCAAGGATATCAACATGCATGTAAGCTTATTGGATTTGGTATTGTTCATATCACAAGCAGATATGGATGCTGGTCTGTGTAGTGGCTATTTTTCATTCAACCTGAGCTAATCCCACAAATGGAAGCCCATAACTGTTCCTTGGTATTGTGGGCGTATAGCATTCTGATACCCTAATGGGTGTTGGTTTGCAAGTAGGATGCACGAAACGAGCTCAGTGTGTGATGCATGTTGATGTCTCTGTGTAGCAATTCAACAAAGCAGCTATGCTAACAAGCGTGATAAACTTTAAGCATCTTTTGCTACTGAAGAACCACTGCGGTCCTTTCATTTGGTATTATAGGCAATTCGATGTTACTGATGAACTGGATCTTTGCATGTTGACAGTGGTTGATCTGGTCTTGATCATGTCTGTGAACCCTGGTTTCGGTGGGCAAAGCTTCATTGAGAGCCAAGTAAAGAAGATTGCCGACTTAAGGAGATTATGTGTGGAGAAGGTTATCGTCACTTTCCTTTTGTACATATTAAAGTGTATAATATGTGCCTGTGTACATAAATTTTGCTGGCATTGATTCCTTTGGCTGGTAATTAGCTCATGTGATCGTGTATGCAGGGAGTAAATCCATGGATAGAAGTTGATGGTGGTGTTGGTCCCAAAAATGCTTATAAGGTACTGAGTGGAGCTCAAATCTATTTTATGTCTGCTAGGCAATATCTACATGTCAGAAGTTAAAATTATGGCAGAATGCTTTTTACTTGTTGTATCGATTTCTTTGGCACCACGGATCAGTTCCCAAAAGGTCGTTCCAATGTGCTCTCAGAAGTCAAGCATGATGATGTTATACATCCAAATAATTGAGTTCTCTCCCTTGCATTCCATTATTAGCTCATCGGTACCATCGGTTTTCAATTTGTTCTCTGGAGAGTCGAGTTAAGCCTATTTGTTGACTTAGTCCACAAAATCCTTTATGGTGGGCAGGTTATTGAGGCTGGAGCTAATGCTTTAGTTGCTGGTTCTGCTGTTTTTGGAGCCAAAGATTACGCTGAAGGTATGATTGTGTTAGCGAGCAAGTTCATTTTTCATCTTACCTTCTTATTTGTTTTATGTCTCAAGTTCTTCAACACTTAAACAAATGGTACTCTGTATTCTGCACAATTGGGATTTTTTTATAGCTATAAAAGGAATCAAAACTAGCACAAGGCCAGTTGCAGTACCAGCATGAAGTGGGATCGCCTGAATCAACCTGATTGGTTACTGCTGGGAAGCTTCTTTGTGTTCGTACGTAGGTTACACTTCCGTTTGTTCTTCAGAGGGCTGGAATCTCTGATCGGCTTCAAGTTTGTCGCCTTCTGTTCATATTGCTGATTGAGTCGGTGTATAGTGATAGAACCATTATGAGAGATTTTTAATCAAAAGCCATGGTGGTCATTTTTCTATTTGCAGATAATACGCACAACACAGATATAGGTGGCAGATTATTCCTATCCCCCCTTTGGTGTTAGATGATCAATTGTCCGCTGGCCTGGTTCCATGGTGGGCGACAGCTAGAATAAAAAAGCATAAAGACATCTTGTTGGCAATAATTCGTGCCGCAAGGTATATTTGTTTTGTATCGTTTTCGTAGCCTTGTCCAGTCCTCAGTTGCTGCATATTTCATGTCGCTCTGCTACTAAAACAATACAAGTTTTCTATTGGCTTCTGTCATACTCTTGTTTTGACTTGAAATTCGCCAGACAGACGGGAAAATTAAGCCAGTATTGGTTCAAACTAAAGGTGTGAAATGCAGCTTTGACAGGCACAATTTGCGTTGTGGTCTTGAGCAGGTAGACACAGTTTAAACTGTCTGCATCAACCATACGAGTAGTGCTGACAGCTACAACTATAACATGCGATAAGAGGGTACTAACAATTATATTGATGAAGCAGAGTGTCAGATCCCGGGACACAGTAATCCTGCCGCAAGCAAAGCTTCAAACAACTCATTGATGGAAAATACAAATCTAGTTGCAGTTACAAGCAAACTCAACCTTCATTATTACTCCAGCGCTATCTCCCACCATATAAATATAGACATACAAAAAAGGAAGGATATTTACAGGAAAGCAAAGTAAAGCAAGCAAGCTAAACTATACATCCTGGCGGCAAACAGGGCAAGAGCCATGCCTTACGAGCCACTTATCCACACAGCCCATATGGAACGTGTGTTGACATTTAGGCAAACTTCGGGCCATCTCTCCTTTCCCAATATCCTGATGATAAAAGCCAGAGAGAGCAACGAATAACCAAAACAGGGCACGGATTAATAGCGCAACCAGCCACATTACACACTGTCAAAGTTTAACAAATGGAAAGGCAAAGAAGGGCGGACCTGGAGGCATATGGTGCAGAAGACAGTTTGCATCGCTTTGATTTCATGACACGGCAGCTTGTCAAGAAACTCTCCAGATAACCCTCTGGGTACCACTTCCCCATACACGTCGTTCGTCTCTTCATTGCTTATGTTGGTTACGCTCAACTGCTGATCACACACCACACCGCACCAGCAAGGATATTTTACTCATTTTGTCATTCGAAATAATTGGCAGGCAAAGCAAAGTTTACTGAATCTGAACCCACGAACAAGTCTGGCACAGGCAGAGTCATGGAAGTGGGAAACAACAAAACACAAACGGGGCAAAATCACCCAGCCCAACTTCATATGTGTGCGTGTCTCTAGAACTAACAATGCGGAAGTGTAAACGGCATAAAAACAAGTTAAAGGGAGTAAGCAGTAAGTTACCTGCCAATGGTAAGCAGTTAACATGGCTGGTGTAAGCTCATGATCAATAAACCTCCCCCGGAAAAGCTCTTCTATGAAATCTGCCTGCAACCCACCAGCACCAAGACAGCCATTTACACAATCAATAACAATTTTATATGTATAATAAACCGCCGGCAAAGACCATCCCAACAGTACCACTAAACAGAAATCTCAACTCACCATGGAGGATGGCCCTCGGGAACCAGACTGTTCCAAACCCCAGTAAGCGCGAGAAGCCTCCAACACCTCAACAGAAAGCACTGCACCAGCAACTGCACCCAGCCCAGCTCCCCGAAGTACTCCACAATCTGAGGCTCGACCAGCAAAAGCACCTGTGATTGCTCCTGTACAAGCTCCCGCTACACCAACCCAAACCCAAACACCACCATCGTCAGTAATAGGCCAATGAATGGAACCCAGAAGGAAAGAAAGAAAGAAAGGGGGGGAATGAATCGAGGAGGCAGCCCGGAACTACCTAAAGCGAAAATCCCCGTCAGCGCACCAGAGATGGCTCCAGCCACCAACTTGGGAACGCAATCGAGCACTCGATTCCCCTGGTATTCAACTACGCCGCCTTCCATCACCGTCCAATACTGCCCCTCACCCGCCTCGCCGCCGCTAGTGCGTCCGCATACGCCGCAGGACTCCTCCGACCCGCTAACAAACTGGCTACTGCTACAGTTGTTGCAACCAGTCGCAACATCCATCATGAGAATAGAAACACACACCCTCCCTCCCAACAGAGGTAGAAAATATGAAAAGGGAACAAAAACAAACCAAGTGACAGAAAGAACCCTAATTTTGTCAAATCAACAAGGTTCGAAACTGAGATTAGAATTTGTGGATTAGAAGCTATTGGAATGGAGAGTAGGATCGGGATAAGGGGGGAATTGGAGGGTCGACAGAGAATTTCGAGACTCCGCTCTGGCGGTGGCCGGTTGGGAAGAGGGTCATTCTATTCGATATAATGATTTCTGTTGTGCCCTACATACTAAACACAGAAACCAACCAGCGCTGTCAAAAGTCGTGAACCAGCGGAAATGAAAAGAAAAAAGAAACAAGACTTTAACTGCGGCTACCGGGTGGATGCACAGATGCGACGAAAGTTTGTTGAATCGTCGGTTAAAGATTTCAGCTAACTTTTGTGGCGGGTAATTAAAGATCCCACTTCTTTCCTTTAGCAAACAAATCATGTAAACATGGTAAGATTACAAAATAGTATCGGAGGTTCTATAAAAAAAGTTAGCTATATAGTATTTTATACTGAAATTGTGATTTAAGTATGGTTCAATTCTTTCATATCATTAAAAATTGTCTACCATTTAGTTTCCAATAAAAATTTTCTCGATCAGACTTTTCAATACGATACAATTTTAATTGCTAGTTGTAGTTAAGAAAATGCTTCTTCTTTCTTTGGTTCATTTTCATCCTCGTGAATCGAGCATGCTTTGCTCATGATGTCTATACGAAAAGAACAATTGTTTTATTAACCACCATAGGAAGTTACATTCTTAACCATCTAAAATAGTTATAAATTCATAATTACATTCTTCTAGTTAGCTAGAGAGCCTGATACGCGTGTGAAATGGCGGTTGGTGGGGTTTGGTCTCTTACTAGCTCTTACCAACACTCCAACCAGTGGTCAAATGAAACCACATATCAGCGAATAGTATAGTGGAATGAAATCTTAATGTCAATTCAAGGCCCTAGATGTACTATTACTCGGTGAACTGTCTATTATCTAGCAAACAGGTTGTAATGCCGATTACTAAAACTAAAGTAACAAAGCAAGAAACTTTATTCTAATTCAGATGTGAGAAGATCGCTCAGGTATGTTTCCCCCTAATCCTTAGTTAGGCCGATGTTGTTTACTCCCTAATTATTTCACTTGATACTTATACTACGAAAAGTACGAAATTAGTTTAGAATCTCGATTAAAGCATACTAGACCCTCTTGAATCGACTACCCGACAAATAATTATCCTCAACCGGAATAGAAAATCAAGGAAATACAGAAAGACTCCCTCTTCTGGATTGAAATCCAGTGAAGAGTAGTGAATCGATTCACTATTTGCGCAATCAATTCACCACCACCAATTGATGGCACTCTATGAACGTAATAAGATGTTCTCTCTCATAGGTCAAAACATGAATTGCAGAATGTGATCAAGATTCAAATAATTTCATGAACAAAACTTCCATTGGATAAATTGTATCAAGGTTCACAAACCAATGAGCCAACAAAATCAATCATAACACATGGAACTAGGGTTCTTCATACCCAAGTGAGAGAGTAGATTACTCCATAAAGAGAGAGGGAGAGGGAGGGAAGCAAGGCTCGAAGTAGTCATGCTCATAAAAAGGATAACGACCTGCTCCGGGATGTCAATCATCACTCCGAGGGATGAGATCCGAGCGCCAATGGTTGATTGAGGACTCCAATAAGCTCCAACGAGTGTTTCTCTATAACTTTCTCTCTCTAGAACTTTGTTCCTGGTGTCGAAAGTCAGATCCCCTTCTAAAATCCCGAAATAAGTTATAAAACCCACAACTAGGTAGAACACAGACACAAAACACGACTGTGTTCCTGCCCATGTTCGTGTTTCTTCAGCACACACCGTTTTCATAGGATCTTGAGGATAAAACACGGTCAGTCCTCTAGATGGAACACGACCGTGTTTTCCGATGTAGTATTCAAGAGATAAATTCCTAGAGGTGTCTAGGGTCGTATTCCACAGGGTCTTTTAATAGTAACTACTCAAACCTAACCAATTGTATTCGATGTATGCAATGCAAGAAATTAAACCTAGATGGAGTTAGGTGCCCTCTACTAGTATACCACCCTACTAATGCAAGAAACAAAGTAAAGCAAGAAAGTAATATTTAGGTAGCTCCATCTGGTTGGTCATGCATACAATCATGTAAATAAGATGCATCTATACATCATCTACATCTACTATGATGCCCTATCTTTTCCTCTAAAGCCACTCTCTACACGTGCATGCACCTCTTGCGATAGAGATTTGACTAGCTAATCCATGCTTTTGCTTCATGACATCACCTAATTAATAAAGAATAAGGAAATTAGTAAAGCATATCGTTAATTGTGGTCTTATACGAACCATAACTCTTGTTTATAGCATCGATGATCTAAGAATCAAACATCCTCCTTATTCATGCATAGAAGGGTAGCTGATCCTCCCATACACGCCTGGGAAAGATAGCCTACTACATGAGATTAGTTTTCTTGTTTCCCATAATAGTAGTAAAAACAATGACTATAATTACATCATCGTAAAGTCACACGAAAAGATAGGTTAAAACATCATATGAAATAAAGCATCGATGGTCATATACAAAAGATGATTAAAGCATCGCAAGTATAATAAAGCATCTAAAGGAAAAGCATCGATGATTATAACATAAAATGAGATAAGCATCTTACTAACTCGTAGAAATTAATACACAATCATCATAAAATTCACATCCCTAAACAGATTGACTAGCAAGAAAAGGAGAGGGGAACGAAATCACCATTGATACAGGCATCGATGATTAATTCTTCCTAGTCGAGCTCTAGCAAGGATTATCCTCCTCTTTTATGGATTGCTACTCGTTCCCAGTGGAACAGAGTGCTGGTAAAGGGTGTTGTTTGAAAGTATAGGCATGTGCTCTATTTATACTAGTTACAGAAGGGGATTGGCTAGATATTTTACTCCTAAATTTGGCTGAAACCATCCCTATCCAACTTGAACTCGAATTCCTTCAACTTGTGGATGAAGTAACCTTGAAAAGAATTTTCTCTGACAAATTAGGGTTAGCAACAGTGGTCACTGTTGGTTGGGCCGCCATCCTCCTTTCAATTGGGTTGGGTAGTTCCTAGACCAGTGGAATCGTTCTCCAATTTGTAGAGTGGTGGTTACTAATAGAATCTTTCGTGGGCCTTGGTCCAAGTCCGGTCTGCTGCACTATTACACATGCTTGTTTTGGTCACAAAGTGAGCATTCGATATCCAAATCCATCTTTGTTTAGGCCCATGAGTTTGTATCATCCTCCTCCTCCTTTTAATTCAAAAGGTCTATTATTGAGCCAAATACGTCTTGAGGGGTTTATAACCCTGGAGAGTACAAAATAACACCATAAAGGCATAAAAAAGTACACAGACACACTCAAGGTCTATCATAAGCACTTTAATAAAACACCATAAAGGCATAAAAAAAGTACACAGACACACTCAAAGGTCTATCATAAGCGCTTTAATAAAATAGTTATGAATTTCATATGAAATATAGTCAAAACCACTAAAGATGCATTGATAGAAGGGGAAAATGTATTAAATATGAGAGTAATAAATATTATAAATTGAGTGTCATCAGAAATACACCACACTGGAACTTTGCTTGTCCCCAAGAAAACACTACTCACAATAATATAACTCAGCGGCAGCTAAAGAAGCATCACACAATTTCGATCCTATGTATTGGATCATAGACAACTTACAAGGTCAATAATAGTACGAGAGAATCCTAACCACATTAACATATAAAAATATCATGCAATATATTCCAAGCATAAACCACTAACCATACATTAAAGTCTCAAAATACAAGGGTGAATCTTTTGATAAACATTTTTAATCTTTGAATGCTTCTACCATCAACTTGACATACCTTTTAAGCTCTTTTGCCTTTCCAACCAGAAACTCTTGTCTTTTTTCGATTTTTCTTTTCCTTCAACCAACTATTTTTCTTCATTTTCTAGATTTTTCTTGAGTGGAGAGCATTTTATAGCTTTACCATTATTGGTCAAGAAAGAACTTAGAAGTTCCTGTACATCAAATCATGTGGAGGCTTAATGAACTAAGGGGTGTTGGAAGCTTTATCCGTGCCCTTAAGAACACATCCTGGAGTTCGCAATCATTTCAACGGGTGAAATTTTTACTTGTGCTAAAGAGGAACTAGCATCACCTTGTAAGACTTCCCCACTAAATCTCAACTATTATCTCTTCCAAACCTCGATTTTGTGAAATGAAAAGATGCATCACACGTTGGGCTTACCCCACACTTTATTTCTCAACTCAACATAGAAATTTTCAAAAGAATCAATCATGTCTTGATTGGTAGATTTTGCATTTTCTCTAGAAAGTAGAGTTCAAACTTACACAAAAAACTTAAAAAGTGAGAGACTCCTTTGCATGATCAGAAATCTTTGAATGAACTAAATGACATAGAATTCAACATATCAAATGGTTTTTTCATATCATTGATTATCATATCCTTCACAGTCACTACATTATCCTCTATAGATTGCATGACATTCACTAGATTCATTGATTCAAAGTAAGATAAGGAGTGAAAAGCTTGTAGTGGATGACTAAAAGTCATTAGATGGAAAAACATCTTTCGGAAATTTTTTTCAAATGAACCATAAAACTAGTATTTTTCAAAATTGAATGCCTAAAAATATGTCATGTATAAGGCATATTCAAGCAATTAGGTATCACCCAATTCCACCCTATACTCTAAAATGGACATTGTCCTCAATGGACTAAAGTATAGTGAGCTATGGAAATTTTTGAAATAGGTTACTCAACTTGGTATTCAAAGTTTGAAATAGAGGCTTAGGCAACCAACACTTATCAAGTTTAGGGAGATTCTAAATCAAATAAAGAAAACAAAACAAACAAAGGAGAGAGCAAGTGCTTCAATTGAAGAACATGCCCTCATCGAATGGCCAATCGGGTTTTGACATCTCTTTATCACCCCATCTAGTTGGATGTATCGTGGAAGGCTCTATGTGGCGTGGATTGAATCCACTTTGGCATATGGACTTTTGAAAGTCCTTCAATGCTTCAGGCCCCAGCTCCTCCGTCTTATTTAACAACATCTTTAACATTGTACTAGCTATCTTGAGTGCCATTTGTGCCTTCTTCACATCCGGGGTTGGTGGGGTTCCTTTCAACTTGTCTCCCCTTTCCAAGTCCTCATCAAGTCTTAATATCTGTCTCTGAATCCATCCCTTCAATCTCCT